TCAGTTAACCTTTGACCAGGGGTTGTTTGTTTGTTATACAAAACTGAAATTCTCACGCTTTAATTAATTACTCACATTTTTGCATATTTATTTGAGTATATTATATTACAAAAAATGCTTAGCAATATTGACACATAAAAAAACATATGGACCAAGTTATTTGTCAACAACAGATATTAACATTAGTATTAAGACAGCTCACGGCTTATTCAGCTGCTGACTGCTACAATTTATATGCAACCATAAAGTAATATAAATCTGTGTCATGCACATTCTCACATGAAGATACATTCTGTTTCTTCTATACTAACACAATTCATTTGGTTGTGCTGTAAAGATGTACAAAATATTTTGTGTGAAGCTGTTTCACAAAGAATCTTTGTAATTCATCTCTTTCAATTTGAAAGGAAAATAATACTCAAATAAAAAAAATTATTTAAATTTGTAGAGCTATGTTGAAGATTCACTTATTTCTTTATTTTATCCCTGCATATTTCACTACAGTTTCTTTTCTCACATTTCTCACTTGTGGAACTCTCTTCCAATTTCTTACTTTCCTGTCATGTACAATTTTCAAAAATTTAAATGCAATGTCAATCACCGTTTACCTGAATCCTCCTCTTTTATTGTTTTTTTCTCCTCACAAACATCTTTTCAAAAAATCAAGTCTTAAAGTTTAAATCATGGATAAGTGCATTAAAAATATGAAATGTTTAGTTCCCCAGGCCTGCATTCAAAATTATTTCTCATAATAACAGAGTCTTTGTTTTTTTTTTTTAAAGCAAATATCACCCCAAGTGAGGCAGTTACAGAGGAAAGAGGTGTGTTTGAGGAAAGGATACAGAGAAGGATGGGGAACAAGCTCAGAGTGGCAGATGTTGATTGACATTACAGTTGAATATTTGAAGATTATAGTCATCGAGGAAGCAAGCAAGAGGAAGGGAGTTCCACAGACAGGAAGTGCGAGAGAAGAAGCTGTTTGAGTAGAAGTGACAGTTACATTTAACTGTTTTGACATTGAAAGGATGGGACCGAGATGCCAGCCTGGTACCTTACTTAAATTCATGCAGTCTGGGAACCAGTGAAAGTAGCTTGTCAGAACTGTTGCTGTGAAAATACTTGAAGAAGAGAAGCCATGGCATATCTGTGAGAAAGCGACTGTAGACTAGATGCCAGATCAGGACCTTTCATATTGCATATTCATCTTTGGATTTTGTCGAGGACCTTGAGACATACAACAGGAGCACCAGTCCATATATGACAGCAATATTCCATGCAAGGATGGATGGTTGATTTATAGACGGGTGGACTCAGATGAGAAAAATTTTATAGAACAACACAGAGAACCAATTTTCCTTGCGGTAGATGAAGCTATTGATTCAATGTATTTATTCCACCTCATGTCAGTGGACAGTGCGAGACCAAGCAAGCATAACAAGGAGTTGGGAACCAGTCATTCTGATGGGAGGCAGGGAGGGTTCTCTGTGATGGGTAAAGGAGAGCAATTTTGTTTTGGAGGCATTAAATTTTACAAGCCATTTCCTGCTCCAGTCAACCACAGATTGGAGGTCCTTTTCAAGTTCAGCAGCCAGGTTAGTTTCATCAATGATACCAGATTTACTATTGAGGCAGGAGTAAATAGTAGTATCGTTCACGTAGATGCCTACTTGGGAACTGATGACCGGGAAGGTCATTGATGAAGATCAGGAAGAGTGTACGGCCTAAGATAAATCTTTAGGGTAACACCAGCATTCGTGATAAAGGAGCCAAAGGAGAACTCGTTTAGGATGACTTCATTTCAGATTTTGACAGGAATGATTGTATTAAATTAAATAATTGTCTTGTAATACCATATCTCTGAAGCTTATGAAGAAGGCCAGCATGCTAAACCCTATCAAATGCTTTAGAGATATCTAGAGTCACGGCTCGAGCATCTTCATTATTGTTAAGTGCTTGGTATACAAATTCAGTTATGGCCATGAGCACATCAGTGATAGATCAAGCAACGTGGAAACCATATTGTGTGTCAGATAGCAGATTATGTGAAGTAAGGTGCTTAATCACTTCGGCATTGATTAAAGCCTCAAAGACTTTACCAAAGAGTGGTAGGAGACTGATAGGATGGTAGTTAGATGGGTCAGAATGGTCACCAGAATTCTTGAAGACAGACACAACGGATGAGGACTTCCAACAGGCTGAAAAGCAAGAGTCGGTGAGGCAGTAGTTGTAAAGTTTAAAGAGGACAGGAGCCAGTTCAGGAGCACATTTCTTCAGGACAATAGCCAGTGTCCCATCCCCACCACTACGCTTATGGGAATCTAATTTAGAGATGATGTCCTATACCATCGTTGGGGTTACATGCATCTTTACAGTTTTTGTTTAGATATAAATTCTTGACCATATTAAAAGCCCAAACAAGTTACTACTAATAATGATAAATTTACAGATAAACCCTTTTACTGTGTTATTGTTTGTTAAGTTATCATATTTTAATTAAATCAAGTAAAGTATATATTTTAAATTGCATAGAATTCTTATCTCTTGCATTAATTGTATGGTAGTTTACTTTGTTTTCTTGTGAAACAATTCTATGTTTCAAACCTTTTAAAAAGTTTTTGTTAGTTTTGATATTAATAATTATAAAACAAGAATATATCTCTTCTTTTATGTGCCACATCCCTATAGGACGTGGGTGATCATAGCTCTCTACAACTTCCTATCCTTTGTAACTTTAACTAATGTTTTTCTTCTTGCTATCCCTCCCAGTTCCTTTTTTGCCATCCATTTACCTCATTAGGTAAGTTACTCACTCTTTCCCTCTTGCTTTCAATATGTCTTGTGAGTACCAAATTCTCCAAGACTTCTTTTTTTATTATTGCTCACATGTTCTGTCCATGGTATTCTCAGTATCAACAAGAAAAAAAAGATAAAAATGAACAATATTTAGATAAACCTGTGAACAAAATTATTTAAAATCAAGCCAGCTGATGATGTGCGTGTAAATGTTTCTGGTAATTTTTACTTGAAAAAAAAAAAACAATGGAAAAAACGGCTTTGTATTGTGTATTCAGTGTCTAGTTTGTCAGAAAAAAAAGAAAGGACGACTGATTGATTGATTTTTATGACTTATCAGCCTTTCAAAGGTTATTTAAAGCTGAAACATTTCTTTTTGGATTGTACAAATATTTTTTTTTCTTTTTGTGAATGAATAATGTATTAAAAGTTTTTTGGAGATAAAGATTTTCAGATACAAGTCCTACTATTTAACCCATAACAGTGGGGGGAGAAGAGGTGGATTCATACCTTGCCCGAGGGTAGTTGCATGCAATTGAATGTAATCAGGATATGTGGGTGGTTGAGAGAGAGAGTTACGTATTTTTCACCTGTATCACAATGTGTGTGTGGTTGAGAGTGTTACATATTTCTCATGGGTACCAGGATGTGTGGGTGGTTGAGGGAGATGTATTTATCACTGATACCAGGATGTGTGGGTGGCTGAAAGAGCTATGCATTTATCATTGATACCAGGATGTGTGGGTGGCTGAGAGAGTTATATATTTATCACTGATACCAGGATATGTGGGTGGCTGAAAGAGCTATGCATTTATCACTGATACCAGGATGTGTGGGTGGTTGAGAGAGTTATATATTTATCACTGGTACCAGGATATGTGGGTGGCTGAGAGAGTTATATATTTATCACTGGTACCAAGATATATGGATAGCTAATGGAATTTTGTGCTTCCCACATTTACTAGGTTGTGTGAGTAGCATAACAGTTATAAGTGCAGAAAGTGAAATTGGTAAGCTAAGCTCAAATTGCTGCCTAGTCAGCTGTGTTCATACAAATTTAATTGAGAAAGGCATAAATTCATTTTTTATCCTTCTAGCTATGTGTTAAATAGCTGGTTAGTCTGGAGTCTGTAAACTTTTGAGAAGGCAACAGGAAACCATTCTAATATGTTTTCCAAGTCCTGGTGATTCACAGATAATAAAGAAAAAGAATTTGTGGAGAGCCATAATCACTTACATCTTGAATAGACATGGCATCAAATTAAAAAACCCAAACAAAACTAAGATTTGAGTTTTAGCCAAAATAAAAGACAAGACTCTGGATCCTAATTTTTAAAGCAAGCATGTTTTCCCCATTTTGAAGAATGACATAATATGATCTTTTTATTCTCATCATTACCAACCACATTTGGCTTCATGTTTTATTAACAACATCCAACTAAATCACAGCTCTATGGATCCATCCCTGATATTTTTACAATCTTATGTGAATACAGAATGCATTTTGAAGAACACTGTTAGTGAACAAAACAAGAAATCGCAAGTGATTTCTAACCTTCATGGCTAGAACCTGCCATGCCACTTACATTGTAGCAAATCACCCATATTCCCTCCATATTCAATTAGTGAGAAGTAAGTTCCAGTGGAGCAGCTTCTTCCTGTGAACCACTTTTCTGTGATCACTACAATCTTAACCTGTTCAAGTCTAAAGTTAACCATTATCATTCCCACTATCCATATAAACTACCCCTTAATGTAACCTACCCTGAGTGAACCTTCTGCCTTGTACAGGATGAACCTTACTGTAAAAAAAAACAAAAACAATGCTCTGGACACCTAGCCATGAAACATGATAGGCAACCACCTACATTGACCAGCTATGTTATGGCATAGAATGCCAACCTAATGACCTTTTGACCATGATGCAGGACCATGTGAGGAGTAGTGCGTTAGACTCATGAATGTCTAAGATAGCTTGTTCAAATAATTATAAATGATAGTGTCTGCTGAGTGGGTGCCAAAAATTGAGTCACTTGTATAGTTTGAGCTTGCATTTGCAATTTATCTGATTTGTTATAATTGAATAAAATTTTAAAAAAATATGCTGAAAATCTTAAAATGTTACCTTTTAGCCTGACATATTAGAAGGATAGAAGCTAGAGCTATAGACATTAGGGAATGAAATGGTCAAATATTTAAGTACTTACTTATACCCAAAATAACAACTGCTGCACCAAATGAAATTCCAATGATCTGTGGTGTAGTGAGAAACGTGTCTGCTGAGTGGTTGCCGGAAATTGAGGCATTTGTATAATTTGAGCTTGCATTGGCACTGTCACTCGACAGAGTGGTCAGTGTGGACAAAGTTCGACTACTATTTGCAATCACATGCCTCTCTGCACCAGTGGATGGCGTTCCACCGGTGGTAAAAGAGTCCAGAATACTACCAGGGTTTGGGTTTGTGACACTAATCTGTGACACATTATGTGATGTAATCACAACCTGGCCGTTGCTGCTGTTATGAGTTTGTGTAATATTCAAAGCCATTGTTGTGTCCGTCGTTGTTCTTGAAGATGACAAGTGTTGCTTTGTTTGAGATGGTTGCGTCTCAGTTGCAGCCGTAATAATCTTGGCTATGCCAGATGTGTTAACACTTTCTGTCACAGTGACTTCTGGTTTTAGGCTCAGTTTACTGTTTTTTGTAGAATTTTCAACATGTGGCCACTTCCCTGTTGTGGTGGCAGGGTGAGAGGTTTGCATGTTGCTTACATTGTGGGTCGGCTTTTGGGTAGTGTTTACCAAATTTGAAACAAGAGTTGAATGGGAAAATGATAAACTCTTTGAATCTCTGCTTGGATAAGAAATTTTCAAGTTAGGTCTCTGCGAAATTGACTCTATAGTCTTGTTTAACTGTTCAATCCATTGAATTGTTGTCAAGATAGAGGAGGCTATGGTTGACACCGGCAATGTTTCCAGTGAGGATGTTGATGGAATTTTGGTAAGGTTACCCTTGGGTCTGTCTTGGACATTCTGATCACTTGGGGATGTTTCCGATGTTGCATATTTTGATGTGGGTTGATCAAAAGTGGGGGTGGGATTCTTCATGGACGGAGTGGTGAACTTCTCAGTGGGGGACAGTGATGATGAAAAAGGATGAATATGCCAGAAATCGGATGTTCGAATAATAGAATGATCACGGGTAATTTCCACAGGTGGGTGCTTCACTTGTTCGTTGATCGTAATAGTTGAAGTAGTAAGGTTTGAGTGGCATTCTATGGCCTGGATCCACAAGAAGAATAGGAAGACTAACAAGAAGTCTGAAAGCAAAAAAAAAAGTATAAAAACAAATTATCAACAACAATTATATTAAAAACATCATTGCAGGCATATAATTAAACAGAAAATTCATTAATTTTTTATTTACAATATTTCAATAATGAAGTCAGAGACCATCATTTGGCATTGATATAGAATGTACTCAGTAAGAAAAAAAAGCAACATTTTTATATTGTGAGAAAAAAAAAAGCAACATTTTTATATTGTAAGAGAAAAAGCAACATTTTTTTATTGTGAGAAAAAAGCAACGTTTTTATATTGTGAGAAAAAAAGCAACATTTTTATATTGTGAGAAAAAAAGCAACATTTTTATATTGCGAGGAAAAATGTCTTACAGTTCATCTGCAAAAAGAAGACTTATCTAAAAAAAATTATGAATCTATTTGGCTGGAAAGAAAGTCCAGTTGCATTTACAGGACCAGTACTAGGGTCTTGTGCCCCACCCCCAATCTATGATACAGGCCTACAACCCACTCTACTACATCTCTATTTTCATAAGGTAGTATTCATATAAAATACAAATCTTACTGTAACCTAATTATGTACAATAATGGATCATATGCAATATAGGTGAACAATTCAACTAGAAAAATTGAAAATAAATACATTGTATCTAAATACAAATTAGAGACAAGTCATAATAAATTCCATCTTAAATAAATCAACAATCTTTTGTGACAATTTTTAACATCAACTGGAGATTTTTCTTTTTAAAAAGGTGAATAATTTTAACCCATTCAACATTACGGTTAAAAAAATAGTGAATTTTATGTAGTGTTTTGTGAGACTTTTTGTGAGTGAAACAAATTCATGGATTTGGACAAAAAAAAAAAAAAGCCTCAGAATAATGTCAAAATTTACAAGGATTTTTCATCCTTTAATAGTCAGTTGTGGTTAGTTTAATTTGTAATGTATATAAATGTAGGTAGAAAAAAAGCAAATGTTAATAAGATAGTGAGGCTCATAAAGAACTGCATTGGGCCTATAGTTTCTGGACAAAAGTACATAATCTGGTATGATCAGTGTGAACAAGGCTAGTATGCTCAAATTACTGAGTCACAATGACTTGTGACTTTATACTAATTCAACCATTGATGAACAATTCTTTCTACTCAATTTCACTCACAAGACTTAGGTCAACCAATGGCATGGTTTTCAGGCATTTTTCAATGGTGCCACATGTTGAGAATGGCTCGCCAAGTTGATAACATCAAGAAGTTACTTTCCAGACAAAATGTCTATGGTGAAATTAGAATCTGAGCCTGATAGATCGGACACCCATTTTATATTTATCATACAATTCTTGAAGACCTAATTTTGAGGCTAATTTTAAGGGGATTATCATCATACATGAGATATGAAATTAGCGTATTAGCTAAACCACTGATCAAACTATATATCCATTTACTGTAGTCAAATTAGCTTCAAAATTAGGTCTTCAAAGCTCACACGATACACAAGTATATATGGTGTATGTGTATATATATATATATATATATATATATATATATATATATACACACACTGGGTGTAGAATAAAATTCTATCCATTATTTAAACATAAATTGAAACATACCTATTCATAAAAAATAGCTTCAAATTTTGCATAATGCTTCATAATATTCTTTTGTTTTATTGTTTACAGTTTAATTAAATATGACAGCTCAAAGAAAATGTGATCAAATTGTCTTATTGAATATGGTTCCTATGAAGAATTGTGAGGTGATAAAACAGTTGAATGTTTGCAGAAAAACTGGTTTTAATATGTGGAGACAGTTTAAATAGGAGCAAACAATCTAACAAATCCAATTCTTGAAAGAAACCTTTCATTTCATACGAGGAGAGTCATTTACAGCCATCAAGAAGAAGAGTGTAGGTGAAGAGAAATCTACAAAGATGCATGAGGAAGATGGCAAAAGGGCTAGATATTTCTGATAGGTCACTAAGGAGGATTGTGACAGAGGATTTATGGCTAAAACCATACAAGATTCAATGATGGCAGCAACTCTCAAGTGCTTCCAAGGAAAAACAGCTTACTTGAAGAAAGAAAATGTTGGAAGAGATGCATCATTTTTTTTCACTGTGGAGACTGAACAACTACCAAAATGATAATGATTATGCCACTTCACCAGGAAACTTTCCCAAAGGTGTCAGAACACATTTCAAGTGACAGAAACCAACTGGTGTCATAGTTTGGACTGATGGTGCTTCTGATGGTTTGAAATTGTGCTTGATGTTCATTGAATGAAGAATGAAAGTGAATAACAGAGATCACTAGCAAATATTGGAGAGATGTGATTCCCTTGTTACCAGCCACATTTGGAAGTCACTATATCCTCATTCAAGACAGAGCTCCTGCACAAATAGCCAATTTGATACAGAACTGGTACAAGAAACACTTCCATGGATTTTTTGACAAGTCAATTTGGCCTCCATCAAGCCCTGGCATTAATGCTATGGACTTGGCCCATATTGGACTGCAATGTTCTACATATCTCAAGTGTGTCAGACTTGAAAAAAGATCTTATGATGCCAGGGTACAGTTTGTGTGAAGAGGTGGTGAAGACATCATGCACTTCACTTGAGAAAAAATTAAGGGCTATAGTGAAAGCAAATAGTGATCATTTTGAATTGTAAATATATATAAAATGTTGTCAATAAATATAACAATGAACCTGTAAACTTTCATCAACCAGAACTTAAACCTTTTTTTATGATAAAATGAATAATGGCTAAATGTATATGCCACACCCAGTACATAAACACACACACATGTCCAATATGGCAAAATACAACTATTGGTATTTCATTTATTCTATTGTCTAAGAAATAGTCACAAGATTTAACAAATTATAGAAATATCAAAGGCAAGTCAGCAAAACTTTTTAACAGCTTAAAGGATTAACATGACCAGATGTACAAGCTGGCAAAATGCATTCTGGATTTGGAAGTAACTTACAAGAAAAACATTAAAAGAAACTCCTGTTACATAGATTATTGAGGGGAAAATGGTTTTCCATAACATTTCATGAAATCCCTGTCAATCTCTTAAAGCTGTTCTGCTGAGAGCCGAATTACAAGTGCCAAAGTCTAAAATGGCAAAGTGATGAGAAAACCTGGTTAGATTGGCTATTGATTATTACCTGCACTCTTTGACATGAGAAGGTCGCTCTCGACTGCAAATGTTTCCATTATGCCAAAAATCAAATACAGTGAGGTAAAAAGCAGAATTGTTCAATTCTTACTAATTCTTTTATTAGAACCACATGAGAAAGAGAAAGAATTTGATATTGCTGAATTTACAAATATTTTAGTTATTTAAAGAATCGAAACAAACTGATTTTAGAAATTTTTGGTAAAATGTGTTACCTTTAACATTGAATTTTTTTTTCTATTTGGTTTTAGAAGAATTTTTTTCTTTAATGATGCTTTCCAAACAGAATTTAAACAAACCACATATCAATAAAATAGCCAGTGTTTGGTTTTACAAACAAACCAACCAATCAAATCAATATTTATTGATGACTAGCAGCATGGCACGGCGTTGCCTGTGCTGGATTAAAAAAATCGTACAACTCATACAGCAATCGCTATCACTTGACTTAAGATATTTTTGCCCTTCCTTGCCTTTAAAGGAGTGCCCTTTGCCATGCTGATGTTGCTACATGCCTTACTTCTTGCCTATCTCACACTGCAAATATTTTCTAAGCTCTATACTAAACATTAAATCTGTTACGAAAAAAGAACTAAACAAAATGAACACAAAATGATCAGCTTTAAAAAAGAACTTGTAACTGGAAAAACGAATGAAAAAAAATGTTAATAACAAATACTTTTTCACACCCAACCCAGTTCTGCGGAATTAGAATAAACATTGAGTTTAAGTAAGCGAATGAGCCAATTGGAGTAAAGTGCTATGCAGATTTAAATTTTTCCCCACTTGTGACGAATGCAGCTATTGATTTTTTTAGCATGCTAGTTAACATTCATGTCAGTCAGCTGTTGGCTCTCACGCTGGCCACTAGAATCTTCCTGCCTATTCGTGGCAGCCAGCTATAGGCTCTCACTCTGGCCAGTACAAAATGGCCGCAAACTATAGGAAAACTGCTGTAGAAGCATGAAAAAATTGATTATTTCCACTATCGATGGGAGTTGGGAAATGCAAAGTCAATCTTGGCCTTCCCGCTAACTTGGAGCATGTGCATGTAAATTTTGGTGCAAATCTGTTGAAAATTGTAGCTGTGCATTCGTTACACACACACACACACACACACACACACACACACATATCCTGCCTTTTATAGATGGAGATTTTGATTTTTTGTACCTCTCAGTCATGCTGATGAAAATGAAAGTCTTTGATGGTATACAAGAACCCCACATCAAATAGCTAAAAATGTCTCCCAGATATTATATTTGAAGCTGAAGGATCTTGTAGCCTAATGCATACTCAACTGCTGCAGTTTATTAGTATGTGTACTGATCTTAACTATAATATCTGCTTGTTCTTCTGTTAGTAAGTTAGTTAGCATGTACCATAAGGTACATGCTAACAAACTTCCATTACCTCAGATAAATAATGGATCATTCTGTTTTGATTAAGAGGAAAGATGGAATAAAAAGATATATATCTTATTGAGAAAAAGAATGCTTACATAATCAGAAAGAAAGAAAGAAAGGATACCTGTCTATATTTCTGAGATGAGCTATTGTAACTACTTATATTATTTACATTTTTATGACTATTGTCCTCATGTTTATTGTCATATTCATGATGTTTCAGATGTTGTATGCTCTGGTTGAGGGATCCAAAAAGTGACTTGACCCAAAGAGTTGTGAGTTCAATATCTGGCTATAGTAGAGAGAACAAAAACTTGAGGAGTTGAGTTAATATGGTAAAATAACTGAAACTGAGATATCCAAAGGCATAACATGTGCATTTAAACCAATCTACCCACTGTGGACTAAATAAAGGGTTCAG